CTCTTTCTTACTCTCTGAAATCAATAAAAAAATATATTTTTAAAAAAATCTGTGGTCTTGTATTAGCTAAATAAAACTTCATATTACCCACATTACTCTTTTCTTTCCTTCATTTTTATTTATTTTCTATTTTTTTCCATTGCAATTGATATGCAATATTATTTTGTATTAGTGCCAGGTGTACAGCACAGTGGGTTCCACCTGACATTCCCAGTACCCACCTGGCACCATACGTAGCTATTACAACATCATTAGCTATGTTTCCTATGCCATACTTTACATCCCCATAACTATTTCGTAACTACTAATCTGTACTTCTCAATCCCATAACCTTTTTCATCCAGTCCTCCAAACTGCCTTCCCTCTGGCAACCATCAGCCTGTTCTCTGTATCTGTAACCAACATTACTCGGTTCTGAGCTCTAGAGAATAAACACTAACACCACAGTTTAAGTAGATACGTAATTTCTTAGAGGAAGAGAATGAAAATTTCTGTAAAGCCCATGAATATATGACAGAAACAGTGGAGTGGGTAAGCGTACTGGCTCTGGACTCACCAACTGTGAGACCTTGAGCAAACTCACATTTCTAAGCTTCAGTATCATCATTTATAAAATGAGGACAATAATAGTACTTATTCACAAGGGTTTTGGAAGAAATAAGTTAATTAAAATATTTACTAAAAATGGCTTGGTATATTTTCTGGCATAAAGTAAGCATTTGATTAAGGTCAATGTTATTGCTGTTTCTTTTTAATGTAGTCCATGTTTTATTGAAAAGTTAGAAATAAATTTCAAGAACAGTTAGTTTGTTTAATATATCACATTGTGAGATTAAAATTAAGTGTTGGACATTTTGAGTATCTAATATTATTTAGCATTCAAACTGTACAATATTTTAAAATATTAAACTATTTTACAACTAGTATATTTTTCATATATTGCTCAATAACTAATGCAGACTGGTGCAGCTACTGTGGAAAACAGTATGGAGTTTCCTCAAAAAATTAAAAATGAAACGCCCATTTAACTAAGAAATCCACTTCTAGGAATATATCCCAAGAAATCAGAGTCCTTATCATTTGCCACAGCATGGATGGACCTGGAGAGCGTTATGCTAAGTGAAATAAGCCAGTCAGAGCAAGATAAATACCACATGGTCTCACTCATTGTGGAATACAATGAACAACGGAAACTGATAAACAAAAACAGATCCAGAGACAGAGAAGCATCGAACAGATCATCAAACCTCAAAGGGAAGGCTGGGGAGGCAGGGGGTTAAGAGATCAAGCAAAGGACTTGTATGCATGCATATAAGTATAACCAATGGACACAGATAGAAGGGGATGAGGGCATGTTCTGGGAGTGCGAGTGGCCAGGGAGAGGTCAATGGGGGAAAAAGGGGATGAGGGCATGTTCTGGAAGTGCGAGTGGCCAGGGAGAGGTCAATAGGGGAAAAAGGAGACATATGTAATAAAAAACAAACAAAAGAAACCCTATTATCTATTTACATATATATACACACACATATATACACACATATACATATATATGAAAATGCTGATGCGATGTTGTATTTATGTCCTTCTAGGGTTACTTATGTCCAAATGAATTTATTGCTACTCAAGGTCCATTACCAGGAACAGTTGGGGATTTTTGGAGAATGGTTTGGGAAACCAGAGCAAAAACATTGGTAATGCTAACACAGTGTTTTGAAAAAGGACGGGTAAGTTTTTAAAAAATCTTTTCACAAAATATTATTTGTGTTAATGTATGTGTGACAATTTCAGCTAATACTGCAAATCAACAATAACTTGGATATCTATAAGGCAATTTTAACTAAGTAGCAATATCTTTGATACATATCTATATAACAGTGGTTCTTACGACTGGTGATTTTCTCTGAATACAGATCAGATGCCATCAGTATTGGCCAGAGGACAACAAACCAGTTACGGTGTTTGGAGATATAGTGATTACAAAGCTAATGGAGGATGTTCAAATAGATTGGACCATCAGGGATCTGAAAATTGAAAGGGTAAAAAATGGTGGGGGCAGGAACATGATAGCAAATATGAATGCTCTAAATTTGTAAAATTAATTCTTAGAACTATGCCTTGCAATGATACCTGTATAGTCAACAATGTTTCCCCATTGTGTCTCAAACAGAAGTTTTGAATGGTCATCTAACTTCAATATCTATGTCACTGTGTCTGAATTCCAAATCACATGGTTAAAGTTTATATTAACCAATTAGCATCAAATTCTTAGGTAGACAAGGGGGGGAAAGGAACAAACAACTAGATTACGAGGTTTGATATTTTATTTAAAACAAGAATTTCCCAAATCACTCATCTCTATCTACATTCAGTACAGATGTGAGAGTGTGGGATCTCTCTTTAGTAGTCTATAGAAGTGTGTATATACACAGAAAATAATATAAGGATCTTTGTACTTTCTGACATTATCAGACACCCAATATCTGTATTTTGAATAATTGGTGAAAGTGTTTATGAAACTTTGGGGTCAAAAATTGTTTCAAAATCTACTTTTACAATGCTACAGAAAGTAATACTACATTTGAATATCAATATGTTATCATCTCTTTGCAGGCTTTCTTATTGTTTTTATTCATACTAAAGGCAATTTATTTTTATGGTAAGAGCTGTAAAAGACCTTTCTTACAGGAAAAATTGTCATACAGTTTTTCTGTTTGGTAAACAGTCATTTTTAAAAGATCACTTTCAAAAGACATCAGCTCTCTCAGCCTTCATTATGTACTTAAATGATCGTGTCATGCTTCTTAAATCTGTCACTTTGTTTAGCATGGGGATTGCATGACTGTCCGACAGTGTAACTTTACTGCTTGGCCTGAGCATGGGGTTCCTGAAAACAGTACCCCATTAATTCACTTTGTGAAGTTGGTTCGAGCAAGTCGAGCACATGACACCACACCTATGATTGTTCACTGCAGGTAAGAAAGATACATTATTAAAACCTTATATGAGACACTATAAATAGTCTTTAAACTCAATGTGGTCTTTCATTATCATGATACCATTGATTATTTTTCTGGCAGAAGTTAATGTAGATTCATTCCAGCTTTTACTTCTCAGATATTTTACTGGCTATAATAAATAAAGATGTGGCTTTATAAAAGTTCACATGGCAGAAATAAAATATGTCTAAAAGACATATATACCAGTATAGAACTTTTCCTGAATTCTTGCCTGGATTTTACCTTTATAGGCCTTTTAAAAATTAAAAATGACAGCCCATAATTAATGTATGTGTGTTTGTGTGTGTGTGTAAGATCTTATGAATAAACACCTTATCTTTTATTATTTCAACAGATATTAGTATACTATTGTAATTTAAACATTTCTTGTAAAAGCAAATTTCTAGATGGATATTACAGAGAACAATGAAAAGAAAGTGAAGGTCAATCTAAATGACCAACCCAAGTATAATTCCAAATATCTACAAAGTTTTAGCTATTTAAATGTTTTCCTTTGACCTGAGCCTCTGAACATGGTTAATGAATATGAGTATAAATTGAGATTTTCCCTCTTCATTATTTATATTAGTATTTAATACTCTTAGAAATAAAACTTAAGGTTGTTTAGTATTCAGAGTGTTTCTGGACAGATTGATACAATTTTTGTTTTCTAACATATAGCTAAATCAATTTCAACTTGGGTATCTTCAACAATTGGAGTTTGGAGATTAGAGAAAAAGTGGATGATATACTGTTTTATGATTCCGCTTACATAAGATACCTAGAATAGCTAAATTAATATAGACAGAAAGAATGATAGTTACCAGGGACTTGGGGGGAGAGAGTTATGAGGAGTTATTGTTTAATGGGTACAGAGCTTTTGTTTGGGGGGATGAAAACTTTCTGAAAGTGGACAGTGGTGATGATTGTACAACAGTGTCAGTGTGCTTAACGGCACTGAATTATGCACTGCAAAATGGTTAAAATGGTAAATTTTATGTTGTGTATCATTTACCACAATAAAACATTTTACTTAGAAATATATTTTGGATACATTAATTAATTGTAATAATTAATAAGTTGACTATTATAATAATTTTAAAGTTTGTTATTATAATGATCAATAAGTTTATTATTAATCATAATAATTCTAACATTTAGTTTATTAGTAATTTTTCAAATGGGTATATATTATAATTAGTGTAGTTAAATAAGAAAATACCAATTCATCTAGTTTTTTACTTTTTTTGGAGGAAAAAACTCAATCTGTAATTTAAATGATCAACTTTTTTCCAGGAATATTCTGGATTTTAAATTATAAGAGAGCCCTCATTGGTTTGGCACAGTGGATAAAGTGTTGGCCTCCAGGCTGAAGGGTCCCTGGTTCGATTCTGGTCAAGGGCACATGCCCAGGTTGCGGGCTCAATCCCCAGTATGGGGCATGTAGGAGGCAGCCAATCAATGATTCTCTCTCATCATTGATGTTTTTCTCTCTCTCTCCCTCTCCCTTCCTCTCTGAAATCAACAAAAAATATATTTAAAAAATAAAATAAAATACTTCTCTTTAAAAAAAAAATAAAAACAAATTATAAGAGTAATAAATAAATGCTTGCTCTTTTTCCAATTTTAAAATATTATTTTATTTTAGCTTAAAACACAAATGAACATTCATTCATTAATGATAATGTCTGAAGATTATAGTTCCAAGTCATCTTTTTTTGTATGTAATTCTCTTAATATGTCCTATTTTTATAAATTTATGTTTATTACATGAATGCTTTCTCTTGATAAAATATCTGAACAATGTTTATGTTCAAAAAGCATATAGAACAAGATATGAAAATCTCATTTTTACCTTACCAATTATATTCTCCCTTCATATACATAATATTTTAACAAAGTAGTATATAGTATAAATGACACAACAGTTTGCTTCTAAATGTAGTGATTTATTTTAAACTGACATCATTAATGATTAAAATCTTTAATGGATAGTTGCCTCACCTTCTCTGTATCTTCCATATACACAGCCACTGGCACTAAGTCCATTGGAACAGGAAAGCACCTCCTCTCTTGAAGCCTCAAAAACAATAGAGTCTTCTCCTTTGTGATTTAAGTAAATAAAAGAGATCACAGAAAAGTAGGATTATGTTAATAATCATTTTTAAATATCATGTTAAACCTACTAAGTTATTATCTCCAACTCTGACTTCTTACCTCAACTTTCAGTTCAATATGACATCATGAATGACCACAAAATTCTGAAAATTAAATATGTCCAAAACTGAACACTTGATTCAATTTCCCATCTCACTCCTTCTCCTCCTTCCCAACTTTGAAAACAGTAAGTCTACTCTGCTTGGGCCAGAAACTCTGGACTCATCCTTGACTCCCCTCTTCCTCTCACATTCACATACCAGCCTACAGCTAGCTCTGACCTGGCCCATCACCTCTCCACTCCGCTCTCCTCGCCATGATCTCTTTGCTCTTCTTTGAACACATAGAACATTCTGCCACTCAGATCTGTTCTTCCACTCACTCCAGCTGCCATGCTCCCCTCCCATATGCCCACATGGTGCCCTTCCTAACCTTATCCAAGTTTCTTTTCAAATGTTACGTTATCAAAGAAGCTTTCTCTGATGACCCTATCCTACCCTATCACCCTCCATCTCTTTAACCTGATTTATGCATCGTCATAACACCTATCATTGCCTGTACATACTATGCATGTCTGTTTGTGTAACACTATAATCTGTCCTCTAGAGTACAAACTTTATATGTGAGGAACTTTGTATTTTTCACTGTTACACCCCAGATACCTAGGACAGTGTCTGACACTCAAAATATATTGAATGAAGCAATGACTGATTACCCTACTCAGGCAGGGTAAATAAATCACTACATTTAGAAGCAAACTGTTGTGTCATTTATACTATATACTACTTTGTTAAAATATTATGTATATTTAAATGTGTCAGATTTATGTTGTAATGCTCCTATTTCTTAGGTCAAATCACAGTAAATTGATTTTTTCTTACCTATAAAAATGGCAGTTTCATGTTGTTTAAAGTTACATTTATAAGACTAGGTAGGCTTTAAAATGTCTTTTTCATTTTTAATATTTACTGCAAATATAACTATTTAAATACCCATTGTCTTTATAATGGGAGTTTCTGAATAAATCTTTGCAGGTATATCACATAACAGTTTCTATGGAGCACATACTTGTCTTGGGTATTAAATTAATTTTTAAAAGGAAATAGCTTCTCAATTTTATTATTCATAGGAAGTAAATAAAATTCTACAGGAAAAAAAATTGTTTCAGTATCATACAGAGGAAATGCTATACAGCTGGATGTTTAGCATTTCTATTGGTAACCCAAAATATGTTTAATACAGAGTTTGGGGTGTTAAGAATTTTCAACAAATTTTTAAAATATTTTGCATACTCTTCAACTACAACCTATAAAATACTATGAAAGGCGAAGGAATGTTCCTTTAAAAAAATAACTCAAATATTTGGTATTAATAACAATCATCTTGCCCTATCTAAACACTCTTGGTAACAATATCAATCCAAAGAAACTCCCAAAATATCTACCTTCAAATAAAAAAAAACCTGTTTAGAATGTATTACTATCATAACTTATTTTCTTCATCATCATACGCATGAACCACTTTTTACTGAATAATTTTTATGTAATTTCACTCTTTCTGCAGTGCTGGAGTTGGAAGAACGGGAGTTTTTATTGCTCTGGACCACTTAACACAGCATATAAATGATCATGATTTTGTGGACATATATGGACTAGTCGCTGAACTGAGAAGTGAACGAATGTGCATGGTACAGAACCTGGTAAGACCCAAAACTGCGTGAGGTGTCAGCTCTAGAATTTCTACAAGGGAGGATCTTAGTGGCAGCAATGTGGTTGGACATGGACTTGGAACTGTCTTTGCATGGCAGACACTCTCTCTTCCTACATCATAAACATCCTTCGGGGAGGGCAGCAGATGGAGATTATAGGAGAACTGAAGCCCAGTTGCCACAGTCATCCTTCAACAATGTTAGCTGGCTGCTCATCAAACTTGTTTATCCTTACAGGCGTGTACAAAATAATTTGAAAAACTGACTTGTTTTAACATTTCTCAAGTTTGGGGAACTTAGAAAATGATCAAATCAATCGCTTTTGTAAACATGCTTAGTTATAATAGGGAAAACGTTTAAAATATTGACTTTTGCGGTTCTATGTATTTCACTTGCCCATATTTATTCCTATTGCATGTTAATACCAATAACACTTATTATAGTATATATTACCTGGGAATTTTTGTTTGTCGTTTTGATTTGGAAGAAAAAATATTTCTACAATACAGATTTTTCATCATTAACAAACATCACATACTGCTCTGGCCAGAGTTTCTCAGTGGTTAGAATATCGGCCTGTGCCCCAAAAGATCTCAGGTTCAATTCCCAGTCAAGGACACAGGTTTGGATCCCCTGTCCTGGAGGCAACCAATTGATGTGTCTCTCTCACATTAATATTTCTCTCTCTCTCTCTCTCTCCCTCCCTCCACTCTCTCTAAAAAACTCAATAGAAAAAATACCCTTGGATGAGAAAAAAGAAACAAACAACAAAAAAAGAAAAAAATCATACTATAATGGTAATGAGACTAAATACCCTCTATGCAGTGTCTGGTGGGTTATGCTAGACTAGATTCCTACATGTGTTAACTTATTTAATCCTTTATTTGTGGTCCAATAAAAATAATCAGCAGACTAGGTATTATTGGCTCTGCTTTACAAATAGGGAAGCAGATGTTCCAAGTGGTTAAGTGATATTCCAAGTTTATACTATTCATAACGGTCAGAGCCAAATGCCAAACTGAGTCGTAATATACAAGATGTTCCTATCTGTATCTTTGAATTGGAATTTGTATGCTATCCAAGTAGAGATTTTCTCACAGTCAATACAAAGATCTGTTCTAACAGTGTTTTCCAAGGTACACCCTAGAAAACATGAGTGGCATCAGTTTTTAAAAGTGTAAGAAAACAGGTGCTTTGCTAAAATAAGTTGGAGAAAGAAGTTAAACTGACTCTTAGAATTTCTTAGAACCTTTATACTAATGCACATTGAAAATTGCAAATGCAGAACCTTTGTGGGAACATTTTCTAAACTTATACGATTGTGGAATCCTTAAACCCTTTTTGACCTGAGGACTTATAATGCCATGTCATGAAACATTAATGCTCTTAGCAAGATGTTGCTCTGGACCAGAGACAGCCAACCTTCTTGGACTCCACATCCCTTTCAGCAAAAAGTGGTTGAGCATTCAACTCCAATACATAGGCATTTGTTTTTAAAATGTACAATTATGCAAATTATTAAACATATACAAAATATGAAATAAAAAAAAACATAAGACAGATTAATAATATTTTGAAAGTCTTGCTAATTTTGAGGGTTTCATTTTATCATTAGGTATTTTTAAAATATAAAATATATATTTAGGGCAGGCTAATTTCACTTAATTTAAAAATGCATATTTAAAATTATTTCTGATTTTTTATTTTTTAAAATATATTTTTATTGATTTCAGCGGGGAAGGGAGAGGGAGAGAGAGATAGAACATCAAAGATGAGAGAATCATTGATTGGCTGCCTCCTGCATGCCCCCTACTGGGGATGGAGCCAGCAACTCAAGGCATGAGACATGCCCTGACTGGGAATTGAACCATGACCCTTCCATAGGCTGACAATGTATCCACTGAGCCAAACGGGTTAGGGCTATTTCTAATTTTTTAAAAGTAATCTAGCTCACCACAAGAGGATTACTCTAGGAGTACAAAAAATATCACCACTGCCATTATTTTGTCATTCATCTGAGCTTGCATACTAAATAATGTACAGTCTCTTTGTAGGAATCTTTTTAAACCACATCAATTCTCTGATGGTTATGTAAAACTAAGTAATGTAATCCATATCCATTCCTTGATATGCTGAAAGAGAACAAACGAGTGATGTTACTCTTCTCTCAGGATACTTCAGAAATGGAAGATGACTTGTGATCAGGGTTGGCATCACAGATATGCAAACCTGCACAGTCTCTCAGATCCCCAGTGCTCAAAAGGGCCTTGCACCTGTTTTAATGTTTGCTGTCACTCTCTTGAAATCTTTAATAACTTTTGAGGAAGAGAACACACCTTCTCATTTTGCGTTGGGCCCTGCAAATTATGTATCTGATTCTTATCCAGGGGACTTATAAGAGTGCCAATATCAGTCCAACTATTAGCCATTATGAAACTTCAAATTTTTTCATATTTTTAGTTAACAATAAAGATAAATAGAAAGCTGATTTCCCTCCCAGGTGCTTGGGTGCACACCTGTTCACTGGTGATCAATGCTGTTGACATTGATCAAGATTGGTTGGCTCTCGCCGGGACCGGTTTGGCTCCGTGGATAGAGCATCAGCCTGCGGACTGAAGGGTCCCGGGTTCGATTCTGGTCAAGGGCATGTACCTGGGTTGCGGGCACTTCTCCAGTGGGGGATGTGCAGGAGGCAGCTGATCTATGTTTCTCTCTCATTGATGTTTCTAACTCTCTATCTCTCTCCCTTCCTCTCTGTAAAAAATCAATAAAATATATTTTTTTTTAAAAAAAAGATTGGTTGGCTCTCTTGAATAGAATAGAGGGTGGGACAGATGGGGATATTGTATTCTTCTAGAGGCCAGAGTCAATCTTCAAATAATAAAAGTTGAAAATTTTTTTGCCATACTCTACAAATTTGTAGAACTGAACTTTGTAAATAGTGTATTCAAAAATGCCTGTTAATAAGTTCACACAGGTCAGTACTCGACGCATGCTATAATCTTCATACATTAAGCTTGTTTAACCAGCCAGAGCAAAATGCAGCAGTTGGGTAGGGGAATGGAAGGAGCATGAGTCTTGGAGTTAGAGAACTGAGTTCAGAATCCAGCCCTGCTAATTGCTGGCTCTGGGACCTTGTGTAATTAACCCCTCGGAGATAATTTTCTTTTGTAAAATAGCCATGTTATTTTTTCACAATTTTGTTGTCTGTATTAAATAAGCGACAGTATCTAACATC